TTTAGAGGAGAAAAAAAATCAATTAAAAATTTTGAATTAATGTTGTTGTTACTTTTATTGCAATTTTATTGGTTTTTTAACAAATGAAAACAGTTAATTAATAAAAGTTAAAAGTACGTGGTTTAAGCTAATTGTTTTCATAAAACTCGAAGGTGTTAATTTAGAAGTTAAAGGAAGGAAAAAAGCTTAAAGTTAATTTTTTAGAAGGACCACAAATAGAAAATGGGCGATGCAGACGCGGTAAGTTGTTATCATATATACAAAAAGTACTTATAGCACCTCAAATAAGTACAAAATGTACTTATTTGATTTACTCACAACGATATCATCTAAGACATAAATTATCTTATTATTAGTTAATTAGATATTAATTTTTGATATAACAACAATTTAGTATCATTTGTATTATATTATGACTATCTTGTATATTTAATTTTTTTTTGAGAAGACTGAGAATTTTTTTATGATTTACAGTCTGAAGAGACTTTATTAAGTTAGTTACTATATATTACTAACAAGTTAGTATATTAAGATTTACACATTATTGTTTTTATCAAATGTGATTTTTAACGTCAGTTAGGAGGAGAAAAACTATTTTCTTAATAGCAAATTTTACTGTTAATAGAAATCTTAATAGAAATTATTGTTTTAGATATAGATATGATGATATGATCTCGAACAGTAGTGAATTGCAAAATACAAAATTTTATTATTTTAATTATTTAAATTTTCGGCTCACCAAAGAGCTGTTTCGAGTATTGCCTAATTAGCAATATTTTCATATCGAAGAATTGTAGTAAATTATAACAAAAAAATTTTATTATTTTATTTATTTAAATTTTCGACTGACCAAACAGCTGTTCGAGTATTGCAAATACCCATTAACAGTGATCTTTTTGGAAATATAACTTATATTTAATTATTCGTAATAATTGCTTTTCAGTTCAAATTAAATATGTTCCATAATTAATCTAAATGTTACATCATTAATTAAGCTAATCTGTTAACAACAAAAAAGTGAAAGAACAATAAAGTAAGCATTGGTGAAAAAAATAGGTTTGAGAAATCCATCAGAAAACCACGTATAAGCGTTTCCAATGTTAAAAATATGTACCTTATTTATAAAATTAAAATAAATAACCAATTATATTATTACTACTTACATTTCCGTCGGAATTTTTTTTTACAATAATACTTAAGATTACAATACTACAATTATTTTTACAATAATAATTTAATAACATTATTTAAAAAAAATAGAAGACTTAATTAAAAATAAAGTAAATGACTTATTATATCATTACTAATTTATACTATTTTATATCAATATAATGTTTATATATATAAAACAATGTTCTACTATGTCACCACTAATACCACAATAATATATTGATATAAAAATTATTCTAAAATAAAAGGAAAATTAAATTAAAAATAAATTAAATACCCACTATACCATTACCACTTTCTAAATTTCACATTAAAATTATTATACTACAATATATAGATTAAAAAGTTATTTTAAAATAAAAAGAAACTTAAATAATTAATTAAGTAATTAACCCATTGTACCAACACTACTCTCTAAATTTCGCAACAATTTTTTATTGAATTCTATTTATCCAGGTCCATTTAATTCTTCGTTATAAGGACAATTTCAGTATATAAATTAACTACCTTAGGAAAAGATGTTTATAAATTTCTATTTATTAGGGACTGTACTGTAAAATAATAGTTTTGATAAAGTAACAATAATTCTTAATAATAAAATATAACATGTCATTTCCATTTCGGCAGTTTCCATTTTTTCCTCAAAATAAATTGACTCCTGGCTTTGTTCTTTAAATAAAGCAATATCAAGAATATCTTCAGCTACTTAGAAGAACTCTTACACTGTTCATAATACTATCGTACATTGATAAGTTAAACTATCTATTATCTGTTTTAATACGATGGCTTTATCCCATTCACATATCAGCCAAATGAAAGTAATGTTAAATTAATAGTTTCCAAAAATAGTTAACTATTTCTACTTGTTATTTTATTTAAAAAAAATTATTTCTTTAAAAATATGTAAAGTTATTTTTACTTCTCCCTTAAAACTATCGGAGATAAATATATCTATATCCTGCATCTTTGTTTTAATGTGCTGATAGTGCATATAAATTACTCATTGTATGGCAATGCAAAGTTCTACTTCGGTACAACGGACTTCTCAGAAACAACTTTTTAGGTTCCTCAAACTTAACAGATTTAAATTCAGAACAACACTAGGGTCTTAAATAAAAATACTCCTAGTAAATGCTTTTTTTAGTGAAAAACGAGAGCATTATGTATGCACATTTGAAGATTCCGTGCAATATGGATTAAAGCATTTGCTCATATTATCTGTGCATGATATGCGATTGTCAGAAAACAAGTCCAGTACATTCTGTAGTGTGTATATACTTCGACTAATTTACTGCCAGCGTTACTTTAAGTCGAACTATTTATTTTCATGTTAAGCTATAACTGTTTATGCAATGGGAATACGATATCTTGTGGATGACAACGGAACGTTGAGCGTCTTACGATAAGCTAGTCAGACTATATATGTGTATATAACCCGTCAATTAAACAGAAATGGATGTTAGATGTTTTCAACGGTAAATGTAGACTATTTATATGGCGATTCTGCCAGCTTATGTTGAGGTCTGCTGTTATAAATATAATTATATTTTAGAATTTATCAGAAGCCTTAATTTTAGCATATTGACTTAAAAGAGTTATCTAAGACAGTCCAGATTTATAGAACATGTTATAGAAGAATAGATCGTTCAAATTGAATAGATGGAATTTGTTGAACAGATTGTGAAAGTTATGGTATAACATTGCCTCTTCCAATAATAGTAATAAAACTTATATATGCAAAACATTTTTATAATTAATAGTTATATAAATGACTATAGCAACAATTTTAAATTATTAAAGGAAATTTTTTCCAAAATCAAAAATATTATGCAATAATTTATAATTGGTCATTTAAATAAAAAAAAAAAAACTATAATTTATTATTTATATTTAAAACAAATTATATTTTATTATGATATTTTTCGATATTTCGAATATCTTTGTCATATTCAGTGAAGCTGTATAGTCAGTCAAAAACTCAATTAATTGAAATAATATAAAAATAATTTTTGTTGTTATAGCTTACTATTGTTCGAAACTTCTCTATAATACATATAGTTATACAATTGTACATAGTTATCTATATATGATCTGTAATCATGGCTTTTACATCAATAAATTTAAAACAAAGTATTTTTTGTATGTAAAGTCTGAAATTTTATACTTTGTGGATATATAGAGTACTATAGTAATATTATATTTTTTTTAAATTTCTTTCTATGAACTTTATATTTTATTTTCGAATATTAATAGAGGTGTCCAAAGCCTTAGATTTTGCTTCTTAACGTATTTGGTGCTTTATTGTACTATCAAATATCTTTCATATTAAATTATGTACACATACTCAACTCTTAGTAAATTTGAATATGCCTAGAACTAACTTTAGTAACAAAAGCGCCTATAAAAATCAACTGCAAATTTATTTAAATTTCTAAATTTATGAATCCTTTGACCTTGTTGCATTGTGGAACTATTCATTGTTGTCATAATAAACCCTTTGACTGCTTAAAATTCAACAAATAAAATGTTACAAGAAATATTTCTAATGTTAGACCCTGCATTGACAACTCAAACTTTGTTGAATCAATAAGCGATTTGAGTGAACTAAATTAGGTCGAATTACAATCGTACACAAAAATTCATGACAAAACTCCTCGAAGGTAATAAAACTCGAATAATATAAACACAACATAAACAAAATAGAATATTACGAGACGATTTTATTGTTAACAATTCAGTAATATGAAGAAATAAAATTCTGAAGTACTGCAGCAATAGTTTTTAGCAAAATACAAAGTAATTTTTTATGATTTCATGTTACTTGCACATTTGCACACAACGGGCACAAATCATTTCTGTTATCATACTCTCAAGCAAATACAAATAAATTTTGTTTTGCATATGTAAATTTGCAGCAAATGCGACCTACAGGTCCGCCACGCCCACCATTTCCAGCAGGCATGCCTATGCGACCTATGGCTGGGCCACCACGTCCCATGCCACCAAATATGATAAGACCTCCGCCATTACGACAAACTGATAGTCAAGGAAATCTGCTTATGGGACAACGTCCACCAATGCCACAACAACCAAATATACAAATGCGTCCACCTAGTAGTGGTGGGCCAATAAGTCCACCTGGTCAAGGTCCGCCACGACCAGGCGCACCTTGGACAGGGCCACCACCAGGGCAAGCAAATCCAAATCGACCACAAAATCCTTTTCCTGGAAATCCACCAGCGAGGCCACCATTTCAAAGACCACCAATACCACAAGGACAACAACAGTTTCGACCACCAATACCACAACAACAACAACAACAACACATGCCACCTACGCAACAGCTGCAACAACAACAACAACAGCAAGCACAGCAACATCATCAATTGCAACAGCAACAGTCTCAACGCCCACCTTCAACTAGTTCCATTAATAATGAGGATGATGATGATGTGATTATGGGTCAAGCTGTAACACCTTTAAAGTCTTTAAATTTAAGAGATGATCTATTAGGTCCATCACTATTTGAAGAAACTGAACCACCAACATCTAAAGAAGTTTCTGATACTACAACCAGAACGAATAGCTTTTTACCAACTGTAAACGAAATCAATGATAATATTATGAAACCGACGAACCCTCAAATTAGACCTTCTAGTAATAGTTCCGAGAGGACAATGAAGTCAAGTGTTTATAGTAAGATTTTTGTAAAATAATTTTGTGTTTTGAATTTACTTTGATATTAAATGAAGCCATTATTCGTTCTATTAATTTGTTATATAGATAAATTTATTATATATTTTTTTCAATGTTATTAATTATTCTTACAGAAGGAGACAATGATAGTGGCGTTGATGAATCAACTCAAGAAAAGGTTAGTATTTCTTAGTTTTAAATTATTAAACCTGTTAGGCATGATATGACTGGTAAAATATGGAACTAATCAAAACTCCCTGCATTCAGAAAAATATATGGAATAAAAATATAGAACCACATACTAGCAAAATGACCTTATCATTTTTTAGAAAATTTTTAACTGTAATATGGTTAAATCAACCGAATTATATTTCTGAGTGTACTATTATGAAAAACAAGTACTTATTTCTTATAATATAAGATAAAAATATTAAATTTCGTAATATGAAATAAAATATTAAAATAATATACAAACTAAAAAAAAAACTAAAAAATAAATATAATAATTAAAAAATTATAATAATTGGTATAAAAAAATTACCTATATTATATATAATGTTACAGAGATAGTTATACCATCAATATTACCAATATTATTAATATACATCGAAAAACGGGTAATACTCTATTATCGAGTGGTGAAGTTTTTGTGAAGTGGAAGTCTAGTTTTATCATATCTAAATTTCAGTAGTTAAAAAGTTAATGGAAAGTGGATACATCACTTGTAGATCTATCTAACACATGTACTTATGTGTAAGCTGAATCATCTGGTATTTATTTATGATGAAATATGTACATTATAATTTATTTTACATTTTAATTTACTTTGATTATATTATTTATTATTGTTAGATTGTAATGAGTAATACTTTCTGATAGAATTTGACCACATAGCTTCATCTGCAAAGACTAGCAACATAAATTAAATAAATGTGCTGTAATTATTGAAGATAGGGTTTAATATTAATTATGTTCAATGGGTTAACTACTCAGGGCAACAGAACTGAAATGTTGCCAAGTCCAAGACAAAAAATAATTTTCCTTTAATAGTTCTACTTCCAATCGCAAACCTTAAAAATATATTTTTGTTTTACATAAACAGTAGGGTTCCTAGTTTCAAGACATTAGATTATATAGAATAGTGTGCAATAACCAGCAGCGACATCTCAGGAAACCGCATACATTTCCCACGGTTTAAAAACTTATACTATTTACTGCTGTTACAGTTTTCCTCGATTATAAAATTTTTTTTTTTTTGGTTATAAAATCTATCAGTCATTTATAAATATTTTCCACTTTGGAAAAGAATCTGTGAATCTGCGTATCTAAGTGCTTTTGATTTATAATTGTTACATTATGCGATATTTTATCTCAATAGAGGATGTAATACTTAACATAAACAATAATGAATTCTGTGAAAAAATATATAAAACTGATAAATATGCTCGTACGTTAGCATCTGAAAGATCTGAGTAGTTAGTTCAATAAAATAATTCTTATAAATACTTTCAATCAATAATCAATATGCAATAAATATATACTCTTATAATATATATTAAATTATATATTTGAAAATTGAAAAAAACTTTTCCTTATAGTGATATTAAAAATAGCTGTTTAATTTAAATATAATTTTTGAATATATAGTTTATTTTTAAAGTATCAAACAATTTTGAATATATTAGTTTTATGAATTCAAATTTAATAATTTTAATAATTTAGTTGATAATTATTGGTTATAATAAATATTTAATATGCATTTAAACATTTTTATATACATTTTCATTGGATTTAAAATGGTTAAAAAATTCTATATATTTTTTATATGTGTAAATATTAGTTTTACTCAACAGAAGTAACTAATAAAAAAAAAAAGAAAAATACCTCAACTAAAAAGAGAAAAAATTTTCTTTTTCAAATATATATTTATGTAACTTATTTTTATCTATATAAATATATTTTTATATATAAAGTATAACAACTTCTCGTAAATAAAATCGAATATACCAATACTCGCGTCGATAAGACATTGCGTGACTTCAAGTGATTTATAATGGCTTTTAATAAAAATTTTTATAAACACCAAATCGCTTTAAATTGCTTGTTTTCAATTAAACACCCTGTTCGCTACAGTCAAAACTGAATAAAAATTTAAATTTTATATATATAAAATAAATGCCATAATTAATTATATTATTATGTTGAGGGAAGTTGAGTCAGTGCACCTGAGCACTTTTACTCTATATTAACTGCGAGGTTTCTTCAAAACCCCTCTTTGCGCCTTGACTGGATTATTATTTATCACATCATCAGACTAAGTAATAATTGACCTCAGATCTGCATACCTCCCCGAGGAGCCTGTAACCATTCTGAGATTTGATAATGCGGTGTTAGTAAGTCTGTCAGATTTCGCAAATAATTTCAAGGCTCTATCCTTTATGTATTTTTTGATGGGATCAATCTTGAGGTCCCTAAGGATGTCATTCGTCCTAATATACCAAGGAACTTTGAAAAGTCTTCTCAGAGCCTGGCTTTGTGCAATTTCTAATTGGTGAATAGTAGTGTTTGAAGCTTTGCTAAACGCTACACAACACCATAATTAATGCCATGTTAAAAATGAAATGATTTATTATATATAATAATATGATATATAATATATATAAAATAATTAATTGCCACAATGTAAGGAATTAATGTTAAATATTGACCGATATTTGCACTCCTAACAACAGAAAATGTAATTTAAATAAAAATAAAATTCTGTTAACTAAGAAACCTTTCAATATGAAATAATTAGTAAATAAAGAATAAATTTATATATAATGCAGTTTCACCTTTTTCATAGTAATCAATCATCTACTAATGTATTTCTTGAGATATTTTACTAATTTTCAATCCATATAACTTTTTAATAGGAAAAATATAAATGCTTTAACAAAACATATAGCCTAACAAGTCACCTATTATATTTATTTGAAATAATTGGATCAGTGTTGTTAGATTTATGGGTACTAATACCATGTAGCGACAAAAATAGCGGATACTTATTTATACCTAATTGTTGTATTGTATCATCTTGTTTAACACATGTATTAATAAGAGCAAGTCTTCATAAACTTCATACCAGGATAACAAAAAGATTGAAGTATGTGAAATCCTTCGGAAAACCAAATTTAAATTTTAATAACTTATGTTAAAATCAATATATTCTACATATGTTGGACTTATTGCCACGGTTGCCACTTGAAAATGTTTTCCTGTACCAAAATTGGTTTAACATTTCTGTAAAAAAAGGTCCAAAATTTTTTCGTTCTGTGTTTTTCATAGTCTTACAAATGAACAAAATATAAAATAGTGCAAAGTTGCATTTACAAAAAAAATTGATTGGAAATATCCACAATAAAGTTGGATCGTCAAAAATGTACCATTTTTTGAACATGAGTACCAAACGAAAAAAAAAGTACCAATTTTGGTACTAAAGTACCACAAGTGGTAACCGTGCTTATTGCAAACAAACAAAAAAATTCCACATATTTGTGACCATTTTTACAACTCCAACTTAACAAACCTATAAAACCGAATGTAGTGTAATTGTTTTTCCATATTCCAGTACCAAATGAGTTATAAACACGGTTGCCACTTGAAAATTTTTTTCTGTACCAAAATTGGTTTAAAAAGGTACCATTTCTGTAAAAAAAGGTCCAAAATTTTTCTATTGTCTTTTTATAAGAAAATACAATTTATATAAAATGTACAAAAAGTACAAAACAATACAATATCCACAATAAAGTTGGGTCGCCGAAAATGTACCATTTTTTGAACATGAGTACCAGAGTATCAAACGGAAAAAAAGTACCAATTTTGGTACTAAAGTACCATAAGTGGCAACCGTGGTTATAAATACATAAATAATTCAAAAAGGCTATTCCCACTGATATGTTTGCAATCAATTATATTGTTTAACACATATATTAATAAATCCAAGTTTACTTAAATTCTGTTCTGACCTATCAAGTAAAACCACACATTTTTCATTAAATGCAATAATTTATATTAAAGTTATATTTCATTATGTTTTAACTTAAACGAAAGTATTTATAAAGTATTTCAAACTAAGTTAATGAGAATTGTTAATAAGATTCTACGTATGTACTCACATACATGACCAACTGCAAATAACCCATCCAACTTTTACTTTTGTATATTGCGCACCTAAAGCATTACTTAAAGATACATTTAAATATTGATGATTACGCTACAAACGATATTCTGATTTTTACAGTCATTATGAGGATATTAAAATAGAGTGAAGGTTGTCAAATCCACTGGAAGAATATTTAAGTAGGAATAATTTATATTAAAATCATTTAAGTTAACTTAAAAGTAAACACTTATAAAGAATGTAAAACTAAGCTGATGAGAATTGTAAATAACTAAAAACTTGCTTATATTCTATACAAATACTATTAACTGATTACTAAATGGCCAAGTAATTAAAATATCACTTCAGAAGCAATTAAATTTTGATAATTAAACTGAAAATGTCATTTCGTCTTTTATAAAATCAGATTAAATAGAAAATAGTAATATGAACTTGTAATTCCATGTTAGAATTATTTTACATTAAAATTATATTACAACACATTTCAATTTAAACACGAACATTTATAATATATAAAAATAAGTGTAATTGATAAAAAATTATTGAATACAGCAAGAATTAGTAGAATATTTATTTAGATAATTTATAAATTAAATAATATATAAAACTTATACGAAATACATTCTATAATGCCTATAAATGAAAATAAAGTGATATAGAACTATATAGAATAATAGTCGAAACTTTTACAGCTGTCATTTGAAACTTGCTAGATATAGGTACATACAAAATATAATTGTATTGTTCTGGCATTGCCACCTGTTGTGAAGTTAGGTCCACCTTGTTATAATATAATCAGTATTTTTTGCAAGTCATCTGTTGGTTAATCACGACCTGACTTACTATCTCAACAAGATGGGCTTGTTTGAGGAGACAGAGTATTGCCTCTGCTTAGAAGCAGTTGAGCGATGTAGTCTTATTCTTTGTGACTGACCGGCTTAGATCTAGACTATGTTGAGATTATTAGGTCGAGAGTTTTCATCCTCGTCTCATATTAGAACATCTTCAGAGGTTAACATTTTGGTATTCATTCAAAGGGCGGGGTGTTGTGTGTTCAGTTAGAGTTAGTTGTCATCAGTAAAGGTACTGCTTTGATCGTACTGCTTTGCTCGGATGGGAGTCAGTATCAGTTTGTTATTCTGTCAACATATTAGAACATTTTTCAAATTTTCATAATTTAAATACTCCCTTTGTTTTTTTCATATATGTTCTTAACATATTTCATCATTTCATCATAATTTATGAAATGAATTAAATTTGATAATTTTTTTTTTCATTTTTTTATTATTACTGGGTTTAGGTCGTTCATTTAACACATAAAAATTAAAAATTTGTGTTATATATTTAATTGTATTTTAATTTTTATAAAAAATTATTTATATTACAGATATTTCGGTCTACTTTGTAGCCCATATTTTGTGTACAATTAACGATCTAAGCCCAGTAATAATAAAAAAACGTATTAAAAATTGTTCATAATAATAATTTATTAATAATTTAATTTATTAAATAAATAATTATAAAATTAAAGAATGAAATAAGTAAAATTTTTCTAAAATTAAAATAATAATAATAATAAAAATAGTTAAAAGCTTAGCGGCAACCAAATTAAATTCTACCTCCGCATTTGACGGCATTAAATAATAGTGGAGCCTAAGTCAACTGGGCTACAATTACGTTTCATTGAAGAAAGAACCGAGACGTATGAAGATGATCGCTAAATTAATGAGCCACGCTTCATGAGCAGCAATTCAACTAACAAATATGGGCAAATTGACTGATGACAAGATGGGTGCCAAGCATTTATGTTTAAATAAGAATCAGTATTGTTTCAAGTCAGCGTGGAAAAGCACTAATTTTTCGTAAAGAACAATTTTCCAAGTAAAAGAAAGTCAAATTTGTGAAGAGTTTTTTTTATTTTCGCATTCAGTTAGCGATTCCGTTTGTTTTTGATTGCTTGAGAAGTAAATCAAGGAAAGTTTTCTGCCAAGTAAATAAAAGTAAAAGTATCTACATATATCGAAATACACGGAGTACACGGGCGCACTCTACATAGAATTAGGCAGTTCAGCGATTTGCCCTTGTTTCAACTTAAACTACAATAACAATTAAGTAACCAATTTATATATAAACAATAATAATAAGAATAACGGCAAATAATGTTTCATATGCCAAACTAAAAGAAATTTCCTTCCCAAATAAATGTAAACAAATTATAAAAAATAAAACAACAAAAGTTTTGTATCGCAAATGGCATTGGTATCTGAAAGCCCGATAACAACATATATTGTATCTTTCTTACATTCGGATTTGTACAATTTTCTTTTGGGCTTTTAGGCTTGTAGGCCTCATGGTGGAAAATATTATTTATCATTTGCCATTTATTTTATTTTTTTTCTTTATTTAGTTTTTGCCAAAAAACAAAAAAAAAACGATAACTAAAAATATGCATGATATTTTGCTGTTCGGCGCGTAGAATCGATAAAACAAAAATGAAAATTATAATTTCGTCCTTTTGACTCATAACGAGCTCAAAATTATATTAAACAACTTCGTGAAAGCAAACCGTCAACACCAAAAATCAAACCAACCAAAAAATTTTTATTACATTTTATTAACTTATATATATGTATATATATATATAAGTTCATATTGTAGTTAGTGAAGTTATTAAATATCGAATATCGAAAAATGCATTTGGTCATCTCAGCTGATACGAATTTTAAAATTGTACTAACTTTTAATAAATTAAACAATACAATTTCTATATATAACATATAAATGATTAATATGAAATAATCTATTGCTTTTCTGTAGGAGCGCAACGGTCCTGGTTCACCAAGTTCACCAGTTAAGACACCAACATCAACTTCATCAAAACCAGACAAAACTGGTGCTTCACGTCCACCCAGTGCAACACCATCGAATAAGTCGAACAAGTCACGTAGCACTTCTCGAAATCGTTTGTCATTGAAAACTCCAGAACCGGAACCTTCAAAGAAAGGTAAGTGGACAAAGTGGAAAATGAATTTAAAATTATAAAGATATAATGAATATCGACTAGTAATTATTATATTACTATTACTATATACTTATGGTTTTATATATATATAAAAATATATATATGCATTGATATATATATATATATATATATATATGTATATACATATATATAATTTTTATATGTATTTATAAATTTTATTATAATATATATTTTATATTTTATTAGATATACATATATATACATAAGGAGCATAAAAATTTATATAAATAATTATATTATAAAATATATTTATAAATAAATTAATATAATAAAATTTATAAATATATATATATATATACATATATATATATATAAAATTTAGCACAAAAAAGCTATCAAGAAAGCATAGAATCTGTTCTAGAAATTAGTGAATAACTTCCAATGCTGGGTCAAAAATAGCACTAATAGAGTTTATATAATTTAAAAACTAATTTATTTGTAATAAAAGCCATGGAGTAGTTGTAGTGGGGTATATTAATGAGTTATGTCTAAAATATTACGGATCACTGTGCGCGAAGTATAATTTATATATTTCAATTAAATTTTTTGATATGAGTTGTGAAGAAGATATATTTTCTCACGAAGTTATTAATTGCTTTTAATAGAAAAAATATATATTTATATAATGAAATAAGTTTACGGTTTCCGCAAAGTATTAGGAATATATAGAGAATATTTATATATAAAGAATAGTTTTTAAAAACTCCACCTTAAATGGGTCTCTTTATATAACACTCATATTCAATTTCTAAAATTTAATTTAAGAATTTAAATTTATTTATTTCATTTGTTAATATATACTTTGACTGCGTATACAAAGATTTGAAATGATACCCTGTCCAAAAATTCGAAGCTCAGAGCTACGTTTATATACTAATTTTTATTCTGTTAAAAATAGACTGTCTTGAGACACTATTGGGTTGGCAACTTCAAGCTAAATGAGCTGCTTGAATTAACAAGAAATGTAGTTAAAGCTGAGTCCAGCTTTAATGCAATATACGACATCCGAAAACAGAAGGACGAAAAAGGACCCAAGTAGTTTCGTGGTCTACTTCGGTTAATCCTTCATTTCAGCGCTGTCCCAATGTCCCACTATAAGTAAATATTTTATTCTAATTTGGAGTTTGATCAATTTGTTATTAATTTTCACCAAAAGACTCACTTCTTGTTCATATTAGGTCAATCATAAGCCACAGCCTCTTGATGTACACGGCCTCTTGATGATGGCCTCTTGAGTACAAATAATGGAGCCACAATATAATTGTTTGAATAAATTATAGCTCTTGTTGTTATTATTATTGATATGGCAACTGGCACTGAGACCGTCGAGTTTAGTGTTAGTCTTTAGGCCCTGTTGTAGTATACTAGTATAGAACCTGCTTTACAGAGGTGCTTTATTGCTTTTTCCGTAAGGGTATGCATTCACAGCTCTTGTTCTTAGAATTTCGCAACATTATCTTTAAAGATATTTATCAGTGATATTTTAGTTTTTATTATCTTCTCAAATCTGTATATACCATATAAATTAATGATTAAAATTTCTGCATTTTTTCAGTTCCAATGAATAAAGTTCAAGTTGGACACGCACCTTCACCAAACTTGAAGGCGGTACGCTCTAAAATTGGATCTCTTGACAATGCAACTTACAAGCCCGGCGGTGGCAATGTCAAAATTGAAACGAAGAAAATCGAGATTAAAGCAACTCCCAGAATCGAGGCTAAAAATGAAAAGTACGCACCCAAAGGTGGCGAGAAGAAGGTATGAAAGATCGGTTGAGAACACATATATATCTTGTACATATGTACTTGTATGTAAAAACTGCAAAGTCAAATTAATTTTCATTTCAAGTAAAAGTTATCAAAAACTTAAATGTTGAAATTGAGTAGGTTGTGTAGTTTGAGTTCAAAAGTAATTAAAGTACAAGTAAACGGAGTTGATTCAACTTCTAAAGGAAAGTTCAAAAGCAATTTGCATTGAAATGCACAGTTCGTAATTTAGTAGTAAAAAGTTCAACTTTTTTATGTATGATTAAGAAAATCAATTTCACGGTTCGATTGATTATAGAATAGTTCATTTGAGTTTCTTGTGTAAAGATTGCAATCACAAAAATGTATGCAATGCAATTACAAATGTTTAAACACTTTTCGTTTTCATTTTACAATTGATAAATGCAAAATTATATATATCTTTTTTTTTTTTTTGTAATTTACGTAAATGTACTTTTAAATTTATTTCATTGAGTTTCGATATAATTTTTAATTGTAATAAATGTTTACAGGAGCGTCTTCCATCAGCTACATATGTACGTTTAGCTTAGGTCTTATTCAGGTCTTTTATGTATTCATATTGAGTTAGCCTTCAAAATGAAATGAGCCGTTAATGATTTTATTATTTTTAAATTTTGTTACTCTGTTGTCGTGCCAACCACCTCTTGAATTGAAAAATTTATAGATAGTCTCAACTAAGTTGCAATGGAATGCCAAATCAAAGATTGGTTCATTGGAGAATGCTCACCATAAGCCTGGTGGCGGTGATAAGAAAATTGAGGTCATTAAAACTGATTTTAAGGATAAGGCTAAGTCGAAAGTTGGCTCCAAGGATAATGTTAAGCATGCTCCTGGTGGCGGTGATATTAAGGTAAGCATTTGATACGTGATTTATGTGACTTAAAATATATATGTATGGTATTTATTATATATAATTGGCATAGTATATGTTAGAATAGAACTATTTCATTATTTTTCCGGCATGTTTTATATTTAAGAGTTAATATGTTTAACTATTCGATCTACTTGAAAATGAACAACCAGGAATGCGACTCTAAAATTTGCATGATTTTTGATATATGTATGATGAATGACTTACGTTTTGTTAAAATATTTTTTCAATATAAGTATATAATTAATAATGAATAAATTGATTTTCATGAATACTTAAAATTTGCATGAGTTTTCATATCTAAAAAGTTTTAATATTAATCAATCAACATAAACAAATATTATTATTATTCAAATATGAAAAAACGAAAATCTTTTTGTAACCTGTACCAGAGCTAAGGTAGGAGACAGCAGTTATATATTATAGCACTTCGAGAAAGAAAGAAAGATGTTAATAAAATTAAAAATCATTTGGATGTATTCTTATAAAAAATTCCAATTTAAATTAAATATTTCTTATTTTATCATCAAGCGATTTTTAATAAGTTGTTTTTTAAAAAAATAAAAAAAAAATTATTTTTAAATGATTCTTATTTAATCGATATTTCGAGTTTAGTCTAAAGCCATCATCAAGAAACGATGATAAAGAAGCCTGTAAAACAGTTATATCAAAAAAGACTATATTAAAAGATTTTTTATAAATATTTTTTTTAATTACAATATACTCCGTAATTATGGGTCATAATCTATTACTGTGTACTATATTACTAAAACAAGGGTCTTTACATAAACTTAATGGAAAAATAGAATGAATAGAAAAATATAATATATAGTTCTTTATAATAACTCCATATTGTATGCCCAGTTAGATTAAAAGCTTAATTCATCTCAATTTTGTTTGAGATTTCATAAATATATATTATAAAGAATAATAATAATCTTGATATTTAAGTCTAAATAATTATAATATTACTGATTAATGTTAGTTGAGAATATGGGTTTTTTTGCTCTTTATTTAGTTCATAGGGTTCTGCAGAAAAGAGTATTGGGAAGACAAAAGTAAGGAAATGATCTGAAGGTGATCTAAACTTTGCTTGTACATTTTGGTTCTAGTAGGTAGAGCTTTATGTTATCCTTATCCTTAACTTATCTATTTCCATTGAAAGTTTAGTAGACTTAGTTTATTTAACGCTTATTCAAAAATATTAATTTTCACTTAAAATGAATTCATTTAAAATGAACTTTTAGTTAAACGGAACTAGGTTGGAGAGTACGTACTTAACTTTAACCAGTAATACTCTTTTAAAGGTTTTTCCTGTACTCAAAAATGACAATTTCTGTGACCATTTCTAATTCAATTTGAATATTAAATTCAAATTAGAGCTTCCAGTCAGTTCCGATACACATATGTATTATAAAAACCATTGTGCCATAAAGCAATAATCTTAATATGTACATGTACAATTACTGGTAAATATATTTAAAAAAATGTTTACTTAAAAATAGATATATGTTAATTCAAATTTTTTTCCATTAGATTTATTTTTTTAACCAAAGCAATGAAATCATCACTCTTTTTTTCCAATATCATATAGAACACAGATTTTATACACAGACTATACGTGTTTCAAATTTTTATCTCTTTTATTCTACTTTTGTTTAATAATAAACATATATATATATTTTAGTTCGAGTTTATAATTTTTTCTTATTCATTTAAAGTACAGCTAACGTACAGATTTGGTTTTCCTTATAAAACACCTTCAGTCCTAACTGCTTCTCGTAACTATTTTACAGTCAGTGACGACCTGACGTCTTAAATCTGATTTTTTGATATCCTAAATTTATAACTTAGATTCTATATAGTCGATATTTATAAATCTATTAACCACTATCTATGTCTCTATTCGGAATAAACACAAAGTATTTATCATGTCTAGAGAACCATTTTTGACTGGTCTAACAGAGTTAACGATCTCTTGTATCTCTTGAACTTAATCTGGAAAACCAATTAATTTAACAAGGGTAACATAAAGACCTTTATTGTAACAATGATTAGTGTAACTCACCTCTCTCCTCATGATAGCTGTAAGGGTTTCACAATAAGCAATAGGTTTATGGTTTATTTATTAACTTTGACTCTGGGTGTAAGTGTTGGTTCAACGAGGAGAACTCAAGAAGTTATCTTCGAGGCATAGTAAGTTTGAATAACTCGTCTTCCAATAATTTTAAGGGCATCACAATGAGCAGTAGTGTTGAAGTAACACTTGCAGTTGGTTCAACGAAGATAACGCAAGAAGTTATATTAGAGGCAATAGTTAGTTAGTGTTAGTCTAATTTAATTTTTAGTGCATTACAATGAACAATGGTTGTCTCTGCATGTAAGAGTTTGTTTGACAAAAGTGAAGGAAGAAGCTATATTGGAGATAATGTTTAGGTACTTAGCTCGCCAGGTGTAACAACATCTGTACATTAACCTAATATACAGATATCAAAGTATGTAATATAGTAAAAGATTATGTGTTATGTACTATGCTTGAAAACTTTGATGTTTATGCTTTATAGTAACTACAGATATTTATATGTATATATTGTTAGTCGTCTTATAAGATATTGAGCATTGGATATATAGTGACAATAGAGGTTATTAACAGGAACAGTTATAAGATTTCTTATTATTTTGCTTAAGATACATATAAAAAAAATATAGCAATAAATCTTGAGTACCTTTTTAGCTCTTAAAAAACATATAAAGTGTGTGTATATATAAAATAGTAATTTTTGATATATACAATAATATAAAAAAAAACTATATATGAAAAAACACTACAAAAAGTGTTCAAGGATATTTTTGTATGTAAAGTAATTTTTAATAATTTTTATTTAATTGCATTTTTAAATTTTATCTTTTCTCTGTGCAATTTACGTACCACAACTAAAACAATAATTTTTTGGCAATTGTTTATAATAAATTAAAATACAAAACCAATTAAACAAATAATTTTGTTAAAGGAAAACGATGGTAAAAATGTAAGTAGTTTGCTCCTTAAAAGTTTGTTTTTTTTTTTTGTAATAATTTTTTTTATTAAATTTCAAATTATTTAAAAATGTTTTTTTAAATTTTGTTAATGCTCACATTAGAAATAAATCACAAAATTCGCACTTAAAACTTAGAGAAGTTTAGAGAAAGCACCGAAAGGCGTGGCTAGATACTTCTTAAGTTGAAATACTTTTGCAAGAAGTTTGTAGTTTTGTTTTGGGTTTTATCAAAATCAAAAGCACAGGCGTTAAAAATTTATAATAAAAATTTGTTAATTATTTGTTATTATTTTATTTTTTGGCTTGCCTTGTTTTGGTTTGCGTTTTGATGTCGTCTCACAGAATTTGAAAATTTTTGTCTAAATTTTTTAATTTAAATTTCCAAATTGATATCAAAAAAAAAAAAGAATTGAATTGAAATTTAATGGTTTATGGGAATTATTATAAATTCTAATCGCAAACATACGAAATTCGGTGCTGCTACAATTTCAGATACAAACCCAAAAACTAGAAATTAAGGCACAAAGCAAAGTTGGTTCTTTGGATAATGTAAAGCACAAACCAGGCGGAGGAGATAAAAAGATTTTTGATGATAAGGATTATTTGAAAAATGTTGATCACTCTGTTGCACTGTCACCAACTTCACAGGTAAAAAACTAAACAAAAATTTGAACAAAATTCAAATATATTTGATTGTAATAGAAATTCACAATTAAAGTTTTTTTTCTAAAATATTTTAAAAACATTTTCATTAAAAGATTTCTAAAATCAAAATTCATTTCATTTCATTATAAAAATTTAATTTTCATTTCCTTTTTTTATAATTTTATTCCAAGAAAATAATGTAAATCTTAAGAAAATAGAAAATAAGTTAAATCTATCTTTGAAAAGTTAATAGGCGTTATTGTTTTGTATCTATATCTCCTATAATAGATTAAATTAGATTAGATTAGATTACATTAGATTAAATTAGATTTTAAATTACCAAATTATTGTAATAGAATAATAAATAAGTCAATAATCCAATCAAATTTGTACAAAAAAGAGCAACTTAAAAGAATAGATTAGAGATTAGATTTTAAAACAGGTTGGGAACTTGTCATTACATCACTGCATTCTTTGAATATTATTGTAATATACCTACTTTAGTTCCATAGACGAGTAGCAGTTAAGAACGCCATGTTGTGCTTTTGAAAGATGTTGCCTAATACCGTTATAAGTGGATAGGCAGTTGATAAGTACCGAAGTCTGTGTTTGGCGTGATTATCACAGTGACACAGAATGTGTTCTGCTGTTTCCTCTTATTCGCAAAAAGTCTGCAGCTATTGTTTCTAGTAATACCTAGGTTCGATAGTTGCTTTTTAACTACTACAATGCCCAGTGAAAAACCCTGTGACAAGTCGGATGACACTTCTGTTCAGCATTAGTAGCTCCCTAGTTCTGGCTTTTGATCGATACGGCAAAAATTCTTTAGCTTATCTGCAGGCAATTATATTATACCTATATCTTCTATGTTATATATTGAGAACCATTTCAACTTTTTATCAAAGTCAGATAAAAGTGTTCCATTAATGTTTGCAAAGAACACTACCTGTCTTAGTAATATTTAATCAAAATACTAAGCAATGGAGTTCATATAGTAATGAAGAAACAAAAAAATTTGTTTAATTAATTTATTGAAATATAGCTCACCATACAACACTGTTTCGGGTATTGCCAAGTACTCACAATCAGTGATCTAATTCACTGATCTTACTGAGAAAAAGAGGAGCCTACTCATTGTTTGTATATTCAATGTAAAAATCGTATATATCAGTTGGCGCCAAATGATTTATTTAGTATTTTATTAATATAATCAATGTAAAATGTTAATAACTTTACAACTCGATATAGCAAAATATAAGCTATGTCTGTAAAGTTCTCAATATATTAAACTTTACTTAAATACATTGCCAAATCGATATACTTGGGAAATTAGAATCGCGCCAATATCAATTATGAAATTTTCTTGTTTCAAATCTTCAAGCATACAATGCACTAGTAACACTAATAAAATGAAAGAACTCAATGTGGTAGCTAACAGCACCAAAAATAAGCGCATTTATCAAAGACGAACTCAAGAAACAGCACGAAAAATAGCTAACTAATGGCACCCAAAATAATAAAATAAGGGCAGCCCTAACAATGCAAAGAAAATTTAGTGTTATACTTAAATTTTTCAGTGTTGAAAAACTGGTACAGCATTCACCCATACAATTTGTAATAACCATAACTATTAATAAAGAAAATATTTTGTTATTTTTTTAAATTATTAGCATAATGATAGTTGTGAATAAAGAAATTATGGTTCTGAGGTCTGTTATTATACATTTGGTGGTCTAACCTTTTTCTTTCACCTTAAGCAATTATCTCGTTTCAATAATGAATCTTATAAGTAGAGGGGTTCTACTAATAATTCAACTATTTATTCTAAAAATAGCTTCAAATATATATTGTACTGTATAATCAGTAATGAAATCAATGTTTTATATATATAAGTATAAGTCATTATCATGGGAAGACTTATCTTTTCGGCCACCTAAAGTAACCAACTAGTTTCAACAACGAAACTTGTAAGTATAGTGATTCTTAGAAGATTTGATTGAATCTTGAAATCTATGAATATCTATGATGAAAATCTATGATGATTTCATAGAATCATTATAATCATATATATAATTCATATAAAATAATAACATAAAATATATAATTCTTTTAGGATGAGTTTCAGATCCATGTTCTACTGCATAGCTTGTAATAAAAAGCAATGTTTTGATTGAAGGAAATATATATTACGTTATATAAACTATTTTTTTAGCATACATATAATAAAAATGATTAGATTATTTTCTTGGAATTAATTTTAAACATTTTTTTATTGAAATTTTATTTATTTTATTACTGAATTTTGTTAAAATTATAATTTGTTATAGCAATGAGCACCATAGTTTAAGACGCACCTTTGGCTTGAATAAAACGTACACATTTAAATGCTACAAAAACACTAAAAAACCTCAATATTTTAATTAAATAATTATTATTAATATTAATTAATAAAATAATTCTTCTACACAAAAAAATATAAACACTCACAAAAATTTCGCATTTTGAACTTGTATGGCTTAAAAGTATCAGCATCGATAATTAATTAGTCACTGATTAATAAAATATTAAAATACTATAAACAATTTCTATGCAATATATTAACACCTGAGTATATAGTATATATTTAATATAATATCTATAAAGAAATATATATAGAAATTTAAATCATATTTCTCATATTTGGAATGTGTTTACTAATAGTAGAAAGTTCTTATGAAAAAAATTAAATAAAATTTAAGTATTGCATTTAAAAAATTAATATTCTTTTTAAATATATTTAATTTATTAAAGTTAATTTATGCTACTTTTTATATATAATTTTCAATTAAAAATATGAAATTAAAAAATAAATAAATTAATTTTTGAATTATTAAAAATTGTCTGAATTGATGTGCGACTTAATTAAAATTTATAAAATAAATTTTAAAATTAAATTAAAAGTTAAGAACTAAATTTTCTCAAACCGCTTTTTATGATCATTTGATGTTTGAAGACTTTTGCTGAGCACAAAGATTTGATATTGAGTCACCCGCAGATGAGAGAATCTAAATTAGAATTAGTATAACCAAAAATGGGTTAAATGGTTTTATATGTTCATTACAAAAAAAAAAATATATATTAATTTATTACATTTGAAATGTTTTGTTTTTATTTTTAAATTATATTTTTCTTTTTACTCGTATTTTTTTTTGTTTTTTTTTAATTTATTTCCATTTGCTTTTTTGTCGTTATTTGAATTTAAATGAATTTCTACCATAAAACTTCATAAATTGTCGATTTGTTTCGTCGTCAGTTTTGACGATGAGACGACAATATTCGTAGTTCAAATTCTAAGCTTTTAATAAAACAAAAAAAATAGTAAAACCCATAATTCTTCTATCTTCTATTTTGTATTTCTATTTCTATTTGTAGTGCTCCCAAGGGCGTCTTATTGCCACGATCCACCTAGAATTCGGTCTTTGCAATTCAGACTGTGTGTGTACCGAAATATTTCGTTCGCTTTTTAAATAAATTTTCATTATAATTTTTTATTTACGAAATTTATTCAAAGAATTTAATACTCTTTTTTTCTCTTAAATACAATACAAAGCAACATAAAGTAACAATAATAATCGATACAAATTATAACTGAATACATATATAAGAAAAGCTAATTATTATATATAAAATTTATGTACCTCATTTGTAGTTGAAACCAATGAAAACGCTTTTGATTCAAATATGAAAAAATTTATTTCACAAAAAAAATCATGAAATCCTCAAAAGTTTCTAAGCTGAAATTAAATTGTACAAAACTCAAAACCTAAATTAACAACAAAAAAAACAATACTAATTATTTTAACAAAAAATGCCAAATTTTAAATCAAATTTTAAAACATTTATTTAATTATTTACACTTCATTAGTTGTAGGTTAGCACCTTGTACCTTATAAGTACCTTAAAAAACAAATTTATTCTTTCCATAATAATTTAAAAAATTTATTAAAAATTTATTAAAATTTATTAAAATTTTGAAATTAAGCTTTGCTCGATACCAAATAGCAAAAATAGTGATGCTGTTTTACATCACAAAATGCTTTGTAACTGCATGCAAAGCGCAAATAACTAATATATATTTTTATTTATTTATTTTTTTTTTTTGTAATTACAAATTTAAATTAATTAATAAATGTTTGCCATTTAAAATCACTTAAACATTATTTTTTCACCTAAAAACATTTTTAATTTTTATTTTTTAATTCAAAAATTTTGACGAATACAAAGGTGCAGCTTCAGGCCGCTATCCGTCCAAATAAAACAAAAAACTATTGGCAACATTTTATAATTATATATAAATTTTAAGTTTATATATACTTATTTAATTATTTGTTATAAAATATACTCATTATTACTAAAAAAATTTACTTAGTGCCTTAGTAACTGCGTTAAACATTAGATAGACAAAATAATTTATTTCTAATTCGTAACTAATAATTTTAATTTATATAATTTAGAATATTCTAATCATTTCAATTATTCTCTATAACCATTACGTTAACTAATATGGTTTGCATATATGTAATATGTAGGATTCTTGATGGTAGATGGAAGTTAAGCATTGATTTTAAGTCACCCTTAATTAGCTTGTATTCTAGATTAAGTTAAGTTATAGTGGCGGCCTTGTGTACCAAGAAACCCTTTTTGAGCTCAAAATAATGTCCCGTTGTGGTACCACAGAAATAGCGTTGGTTCATACATAGACAAGGTGATCAGTATACGTCCAACGCCGAAAAGGCGATGACTTCCCCAATTAGGTGTAGGAAAACCTTGTATTCTAAGTACTTAATGAGTAGAGAGTGGTTGTTGTAATATATAATGTTATATTACAGGTAATGTTATCTAAAAAAATCTTATTCAAAAATAGTTCTTTTATTGACAATTCAGAGACAATCTGAATTATACACGTGAAGTGAATAAAAAAAATATATCATACGGCTTTAGTCTTTTTAAGTGACCTTTGGAATATGTGCGAAGAATCGCTGCCATTAATGTTTGCTATACTTTTACCTTATAAATACTACTAAAATCAGAAAAACATTAGGAATTTTTATTTAGTAGTATAGAATTTATAATGTCCATTTATGTTAACCGATTTACTATTTACTTAATATATGCTCTTATCAGGAACTTAGGGGTTGTACATAGGCGTCTAAGTTATTCTGTCTTAAAAAAGTTGATGGTATATTTTTCTATTCCTTTTTTATATTCCTCTTAGAAAAAATGCATTTATTATAACTATAATCATAAAAGATAGTGGTAAGCAATGAGATCAATTACACTTACCCCGGAGAGACGCTATTTAAGAGATATCTCCTTTTAAAACTCCAAATGTCATTCGATTCAAGTCAAAACATATTTAAGGATGTACTGGACATTTCCTTGCAATTGTTAAACATAGAAGATAAGCTGAGCGAAAATTTCACTCTGCAAGTAGGGTAGTTCTTTTTTGCTCTATTTTTTTTAAAAATAGTAACTAATGAAAGTACCTATGTTCAGTTAAGAAATTAATGATTAAGCTGAGTTCAGATATATTTAAATTGAAGAAAATTTTTGTTTTTGACTCGGATGACCATTTTGGATTGCGTTACGTCTTTGCTCTACCAAATGGTTCCTTCTCGACTGACCTTTTCAAATGGTTTATACCCAATTTATCTAAGCTGAACTTTTTTAATATAGGTATATTTCATAATAGACATACTTAAGGATCCTATTTTAAAATTGTTTAATTAACAATGATGCAAGTACTGATGCAAGTGTTCTCATTTTGGAACACTCCATTTATATTTTTTCGGTAGACCACAATATATCATAGAGTTACTGATAATCCTGATATTACTGATACGAAATTTTTAAAATTAATTTTTATTAAATTTAAAACAGAAAATCTCCATCTTTTGTTCAATATACTATATATACTTTTTTATCTTATAATCATGAATTTTTTGAGCATATAAAAATAAATAAAAAGTTATTAATTTTATGTTAACTATATATAAAATTTTATTAATTTTCTTGAATTTTTTAAACTTGTATTCGTCAAAATTTTGATAAATAATTTTATTATTATCATATTCGTATATATTATTTATAATAAAATTTTAATATACATACTATCTTTATAGGATTACTTATATACATTTTACTAGGATTATAAGAAAGAGTTTAATAAATTTTAAGTAAATATGCCAACCAAAAAAAATAAATAAAGTAAAAGTTTAGTAAGTGTAAAAAAAAATGGTTTCCTTTTGTTTGATAACTTAAATTTGTGCTGTGATTCACTAATAAAAATATTTAACAGTTGAAATATCCTATATAGACTTGTTTATATATATTTAATAACAATATTAACTAATGCTCATATAAGTGAAATGCTGGTTTTTGAGGAGCTAAAATTTGCATAAATTACAAATAAAATTTATTTTAACTAATTATTTTAAAATATATTTTCCTGCCAATAAATATCCTTTTAATTGCCTGCTGTGTGTGCTCTCTGAAAAAAATTAAAAAAATTAATTATAATTTATATATAATTACTTAAGTGCTTCAAATCATTGTGCCGCTTCTTAAAATGTGTCCCTTAAATTTTGTTATAAAAAAAACTAATTTTTATATAATAATTTTTTTTTTGTTTGTTTTTAAATTAAGCTTCGTTCTTAACAAGTTTCATGTTTTACACAATTTTCAAATTTTGGTTTTTATAATTTTTTATTGTGATTTTTTTTCTTGAACACAGAGTCCGCAACCAACTTCAATGACGACATCCACAACTGGTGCCGATGAAAATTTGAATCAACAGAGTTAAATATTTTGTTAAAAACAAAATTAAAAAAAGAAAAAATTTTAAGAAAAGAAATTTTTTGAATACAGAAAAAAACCAAATAATTGGATTCAGTAAATTGAAAAAAAAAAAAAAATTAAATGTATTTAAGCAAATGAAATAATATATTTCAAAATTATTATCATATAAAAACGATAATAATTAATAGTTGACAAGAATAATATCTGATAATAAAAAATATAGAGCAAAAAGTAACATATTTCATAAATGAATTTTTTATTTAATTTATTTCTTTTAGCAGAGTTTTGTTTTAATATTTTCATTATGCAAATTAAAAATACACACAATTTATCAATTTGCTATAAAAGTAGTAATTATTTTCTTTAGTTTTGTTATATATTTTTTTCTTATTAAATAATTATAAAAACATTTATACTAGTACGACTATATAATTTTATATATATTATATTTGAAATGGTTTTGTTTTTGTATTTTTGCCTTATATATATATGAGTATTTTATATGTAGTTGTAACTGAACAATTGAAATTTGTAACTGATTCAATAAAGTACACCCACAAAAATTAAAAATCAGAAAATAATTATTATACACAATTTTTTTATTAAATGATGAAAGAAATTAACTTCGAAGTTATATATATGTGAATTCTATATATTTGTGAAATGGAAACACTATTTAAAAATATTATCTATGCATTGAAGAGAGGGAGAAAAAAACAAAAAAAAAATACATATACATAATATCTTCATATAAAAATTATTATTGTAAAACCAAAAGTATCTAAATGTTTGAAAAAAAAATTTAATATAAAAATTTGATGATATTTAAAAGAAATTTGCTTAAAGAAACGTATTTACATATGATAAATATATATATATTTGAAATTAATTAAATATATAAGAGAGAATTATATAAAAAGGATATTATTCAATATATATTTCAATGTTAATTCCGTAATTAATTTTTAAATGCTTAAAATTTGGATACTTTTATTTTACAAAAACACATTACATTCATACCTACAATTTTAAAGGATAATTTGAAGGATAATCATGCAAAGTTCAACACTATATTTAAAAAAAAAAATTTTTAATTATAAATAGATTTCATGTCATAAGACAAAAAATATTAAAATAGTAATAAAATATTATTATTATTATTATTATGACAAGTTCTTCATTATAAAATTAAATGGGGAACTTAGTCTATTCACAGTTTGTTGTTATAAAAATTTTTGATTCGTTGCCACTGTTCTTCGCCAAGCGGTTCTGGAACAACCTCGTCTCCTTACTCCTTGCGGGTTCCATTCCATGGGCAATTGCGTCTGTTGGTTTTCTCAGTGTGTGACCAAGCCATCCATATTTGCGTTTCTGAATTTGCAAATTTCAAAATAAAATTCACTTACTTACTTACCGCTGTCCAATTAAGGTTGGATTCGTAGTGGCTGTTGGTTAATACCCAAACTTACGCGGGAGGAATGTTCAGTTTTGGTTCAGATTCGGCGTGGTGTTGCAAATTCACCGGCCCAAATTGTAGCAGAGGCAATAGATAGACCTCGCATTTTACCAAAATGGAAGATATGACTTAAACACATTTCTTCATTGGTACCGGCGGAATTTACTAAGGTAATTCCAATAGGTCGCTGATTGACGCTTTGTATCAATACGTTGTGTTTTGGAGCACCGTGATGTTAAGCCTACACGGCAGAAACTCCGGAACTTCATGTTCTTCTCTTCTAGTGGAGCATTGAGTCTTAAAAAAAATAAAATTTTTATTATTTTAAATATTTGTAAAGTGAAGAGTCATTCTTCCATTTTGAAACATTTCTTAATTAACATTTTTTAATAGAAATCCAAATAATTTCGGATCAAAATAATGGATTTCAATGTTACGCGTCTTTTGACGAATACAAACTATTTAAAAGCTAGTAGGGTTCGAATAGAAATTAAAAGACAACAACAAAAGTTTTAATTAATTTATTAAAATTTGGCTGACCATACAACGCTTTTTCAAGTATTGATAAGTTTTTCAGATTTTCGTCCAATTTAAAATTAACATTTTTTATTTTAAATTTCAAAGTTTAATCAAAGTTTGAAATAGAGAATGAGAAAATAGTGTTTATAGAATGAAGAAAAAATCTTTTACAATAATTTTTTAATAGAGAAGGAGAAGTAAAAATTTTTGTTAAACAATTGACGATACATATTAAATTTCGAAAGAGAAGGAGAAGAACATTTTTTTTATAATTTTTTTTTAATTGACGAAGATGTTCTTTTTCTGTATATGAATTATAAACACTTTTTTTAAATTTATTTTATTATAATTATATATTTTGAAACATCAAATTAATAAATCTGATTAATTCATTGTTAACAAAAATATATGTTTATTAAAAATTATTAAAATAAAATACACATCCTTTATTTAAATAAAAAAAAGTTCTATTTTTAAATAAATCACTTTGCTTGATTATTCTTAAATAATAAAAAAAAATTCATATATACAAACAATTAAAATAGAAATGCAAATTTTTCTTTTCAGAATTATTTGCATTTATATTAAATAAAAAATAAATGCATACATATTTAGTAAAAATTTTACACAATAAATCAAGTTTATTACTTCATTTACATCATAAGAAAAAGTAATAAAATTTAATTGTAAGAATTTGCAAAAATAATAAAATTCATTTCCTTACAAATAGCAAAAATAATTTTTTTTATTTATTTGCACTTTTACTTGGTAGAGCTTGAAAAAATATTGTAGTTTGAGTTCAAAGCAATATTTTATATCGCAAATGTAGATCAAATTGATGCAGTGATTATCACATACCACGTAATTTTGACAATGTAAATTTGGAGAAAATTTGATTAAGAGATATATGTTATATATCAATATATTTGGTTACTATTTGGAATATTAAATTATGATAAAGTAATATTAGCTAACACAGATTTATATAGAATAAAAGTTTTGAACTGTCTTTGATTTATCGAAATATAGGTAATATAAGGCTTTATGAGCAGTGTACATATAGAAATGGGAGATAAGGTTCTACCTTGCTTTCACTACTAATTGCCAGGTATTTCTATCTAATAATTTCATAGTTCGAATAGAATGTACAAATGGACAAAATCCTTCTTTCTGTGTAATATATGTTAAACTCTTATTTTATACCTTTATACACAATTATCTTATCTCTTAAATCTATTTTTGTATGTATTTTGTATGAATTTTATGTTCACAATCCCATACATTGCTGTAATTTTGTCGAGTTAATAACGATAGTGTAAACATACTGTTACTTGTTTAAATATATATTCAGAAGTTTCAAGAAGTAACTCTCTTCTCAACATGTTGTGTATATATGTAAACAGATTAGACAATCACGGTCTCTATATATTCACTAACGATTTAAAGATGTTAATAAAGCCTTCTATTTATTTATAAATTTTTCAGTATCAAAGCAATATCATATGTATTCACCGACTTTTCTTGGTTGGTACTGGTTAGTTTAATGACTTTTTTCATTTATAGTAGACTAAATTTGCAGACCTTATTGGTTTATGACGAGACAGCATAATGAGTAGATATAAAAGTACACACTAAAAATTTTGAATTAAAGCTGTGAGTAGCTATTTTAATAGTTGAAAGTAAATTTGTTTAAAAAGTTTTTATCGCTTTCCGATAATTATAGAAATACAACAAAATAAAATTAAATCAAAAAACCATTTAAAATCCATATCAATGACTTAACATAACCCCATAAATAGTAATCAAAAGGCGTTAAATGACACGAACGAGGGAGCCAGTTAACAGTACTTCTTCGGTAAAAAAATTTGCACCAATTTGATTTCTCAATAAATCGTTTGTTAAGCGCGCTGTATAGCAAGTTGCGAAGTCTTGTTGGAACCAAATGATCTCAATATTTAACTGATTAATTATTGGTAATAAAAATTTATTCAGCATGGCTTGATAGCGTTTACCATTCACTGTAACGACAGCTCCCTCCCAATTTCAAAGAAAATAAGGACCGATTATGCCACCAGCGTGTAAACCGTACCAAATACTCAAGAGATAATAGTATTGATTCGAGTAGAGTAAAATTAGTGCGATAACGGTCAAAAACTGCAGGAATTGCATGTTTACTAGGCTGCTTATATTGACCGTAGAATGGACGAAGTGCTCTATGAACTTCGCGAACAGTTTTATTTTTTTCAAAGTAAATTTCTACAATTTAGAAGCTGTCCTTTAGAGTTAAATTAGTTAAATGATTCATTATTAATTGATCAACTATGGTTGACATCCTGAGCTTTCAAACCATAATTATCAATATCGATAGTAGCATAAATGCAAAAATAATAATGCAAAAATATCGTTTTTTTTTCAGTTCGAGGCTTTGATAAATTGTTCCAATATGCTGCTAATAGGAATATAAAAACCAAAAAGGCATTTAGCTATATATAGTTCAGTTTTTATAGTTTAATCTTGAGTGATGATTCAGTTGGATCTGGAGTGATATTTTACATGATTAATAATCAAAACTAAGAGTAAATTGTTTACTTTCTAATTAGTTGGTTGTATATGTACAACATATTAAAGTTATTTATTTACAATTCTCATCAGCTTCGTTTGGTATTCTTAATAAATATTCTTGTTAAGGGTGAATTATGGTAGAATGTGACTTTAATATAAATTATTTAATTTAATTGAAAGATATGCGGCCTTACTGATACTTCAGAGTAAAATTTAAGTAAACATGATTTGTTAATATATATGTTACGCAATATAATTCATTACAAATAGATTACTGAGGATAGTCTTTTTGAAAATATTTGTTTAATCCGGGAAGCGTCTTCTGTTTTTGTAACTCAAATGGCGCTGAAATACAACACCACATTTAATTTTAGAATTTTTAAAGTGGGTTTTAAAGTGGGTATTTGTAAAAATAGTAATAAATATATGGAATTTTTTATTTATTTACAAATTTCCTTAACTTCCATATTCTTAATCGTATTTAAATTTGTATATATTGGAACTTGATTTTATTATGTATTATTAAAATTTAAATTCGTTTTGTGAATGTTTTCACATACTTCACTCGGTTTGTTATCTTGGTAAGGAGTTTATAGACACATTCTTTTATTAAAACAAGTTTTTTTTTTGAGAGCATTATAGAGTACAACTATAGTAATGATAAGAATCTTTGCCGAGCCAGGATGAAATGTTTTATTTCATATACATAGAGAAGAATTGAGGGGAATCCTCAATTATTGCTTAATCTGATGAAGTGATAAACATTAATCCAGTCAACGCGTATAGAGGGGTTTTGAAGATACCTCGAATTAATTAAGAGTAAAAGAGCTCTACTGCACTGGCTCAAATAGCTTCAACATAAACCTAACACAAAAAAAAACAAATAAATAAAATATTTTAATTTTAACAGATATGTTAGGTAGATACAAAGATTTATAATAAATTGTTAATGAAGTTAATTAGTTAAATACTAAACACTTTTATTTGAAAAGCAATATTTGTTAAGCAATAGGCACCTAAGCATACACGACGAGCACCAACAATTTTTATCGCTGAAAATAATGCATAGAATCCACTGCAACTCAAGCATCAACGCCAGTTTCAATTGGATGAAAAAAAATTGGTAAACATTTTAAAGTGAAAAAAAAACACGATTAGTAAGTTTTTAATTCAATAATTTAATGTATTATTCGCATATCAAATAATTTTTTTTTCTGTTATACTAACAATTGTTTTTATTTCATATTTGCCTTAGCAATTCTGGAAAGCACCCAAAATCAAGAGAGCAACTACGATATCTTCTTCCATGTCGCTGCCAGCCGAGTGTTTAGTGCTATCTGTATCAATGCCATCTTTAAATTCAGCGGAACCGAAAAGACCCAAAAGTGCTGGACCTAAAAAAAAGCCTGGCCAAGCCGTACATCCAAAACCATTCCGTTTATATTAATTAACGTGTATAAAGTTTTGGAAAACAATCGTTCATACAAAAGGATTTCAAATTATTATATTAATTTATGGCAAATAAATTAATAACAAAACATTTATTGATACAAAATAAAACAATCAAGTAGAATATTGATTTGAACAAACAAAATTCACCACATGAAGTTTCTCACAAATTAAACACACCTTATTGTACGTATCTTGTGAAATTGTTAGTTATTCACCACATCACATTGCCAATCGTTACATATAATATGTATGGTGTATACATCAGTTTTATACATAAATATTTTTATTAATAAATTTAATGCACAAATACATTACAATACATTACATTTAATAAGTTATAATAATTTATAAATAAATAAATAAAATTAAATTTAACACATTACTTTTTGTTTCAAGAAAAAAAAAATATTCAACAACTATTCCGAGGTGATATTAAAATTTTAGGTGATAAAAAAAAATTATTTAAAATATTCGATCTAAAATAAAAATTGTGCAAGTATAAGTAATACAATATATAAAACAAAAAAAGGTAGATATAAATTCCAAAAAATATCACTGAGTAAAAATTTAGTAAATAAATTTAAATAATGAATTTAATAAATTTAAAATAACACTCCACGCAAAACGATATATTTATCAACACATCTATTTATTATAATAAAATCGTATTTATTTACCACTACATGTAAATGAAAGGAACAGCTTTTATTCTATATTTTTTTCTGATTTTGAGATAATGCGAAGTAAATAATAAAAATAAATTATAAAATATATAATAAAGTGGTAAGATACGATAAGAATAAATGGTGTACTAGCTGCCATTAGAATGGAGCACTGAGACTATAACTGATCTTTATCGTTGTTTACCGACTCTAACTTAATGAATGTTATTCCCCTATTCTTTGGGTGAACATCAAAAATGACATCAGTTATAGATTTTTGTATATTAAACGGGAATATGAACTCTCAGCCCTGAAACCCTCACCTGCCTCAGTGAAAAGTCGGACAATCACTTATATCTCTATGTGGTATCACATAGAGTTTGTTTAATTTTTGCCTATTGTAATAGACCGACTTGCCAATGATGTTTACATATTTTTAATGAAATGACATTTGTCTGTGCAGCGTAAAGGTATGCTAGAATTAGTTAATTATTTATCCAACCGGTACAAGTCCGTCATCGGACTACATCTAGTGCAGTAAGTGCTTCTTCAACTTGTTTACTCCACTGGGTATACGATCTTCATCAACATTTTAGCTCTTAAACTCTCGCTGCAAATAACTTTCCCACTGGAGCATTATTGTCCTTTCTCATGACATGGCCAAGAGAGCGAACTCTCTATTTATTTACTGAGTTATATTAATGTCGTGCTAAAAGTCGTACAGCTCGTGATTCACTCGCAATCGGTAGTCTTCGCTAAGTTGTAGAGCAGAAAAGAGATAACGAAAAAGTTTTGTTTTAAACACCCTCAGTACTGATTGATCATTCTATGATAATGTACATGCTTCTACGCAATGCAACAGCAAAAGTTGGATGAAGGATTTATAGAGCGTAAGTTTTATTGGTCTAGACAGACAAATATCTCAATGTCTACTAACACCATAGTAGTAACTTTTGACAATAGTTATTCTTTGTTTAATCTACAGGTTGTTCATTAGGGCATTGCCGTATCTTACTGCTGCTGGATGAAATATATTTCGTTTTGCTCTCACTCTCTGTTAAGTCCATTTTCTCAGATTCCTTTTATGTTGCAGCAAAGGCATGAGTAACATCATGTTTGTTATGTCCAACGATATAGAAGTCGTCAGTGTAGTTAAGGAATACCCAGTACGATCAAAACCACTTTTGTTTATAACCACTTCTATGACGAAATTGGAAATATTTTTGTGAAGCCTAGCATGATATGCAATGCTTTGAATAGACTTGATTCTATCAATACCAAGCTTAGACGTAGCGGGATAAAAGTGTCGTCTTATGCGGAATATAAAGCAACTATCGAAAGTTGCGTTATAATCTACAAAATAGCTATACTCGGTGGTCGGCATTACGTTCGTTGCCTGTTTCTACGATTTGCTGCAGGGCGTATTTAGATAAACAAGAATTTTTTCTATGCTATATTTATTAGGAGAGTTTAATGGAGAAGATAAAGGCATGTTAAGTGTGATTTGAACGCTTAGTTGATAGAAGTCAAACTGCTAAAGATAAGGATTGATTATCAAAATTACAGAGTCGATAAGTTCTTGCTTATTAAGCTTTGAGAGTTTTTAATTGGGAAGATAAAGGTATGTAATGTGAGATTTGAGCGCTTAGTTGATAGAAGTGAAAGCGCTAGGGATAAGGATTGATTGCTAAAATTGCAATCCTTGCTTAAGCTTTAATTTATGTTTTTGGCATGACCAAGTTCTTAGTCTCATTGTTTATAAGAAATCTAAAGCTATAATTTGTTACATTAGTATAATCAATACAATAAATTCAAAAAAAAAGTATTTATTTTTATATATATAATTCGAATTAATTTATTTTTTGTATTTGTTTACTTTTACAGGCCTTTTTATAATATTTTGTTACAAATATTTTCTTTCATAATTTTTTTTCTTTACATATAAGGTAAATAATTTTTTTTTATGAAATTTACAAATAATGCTCAAAAAGGTTCATTTTAAAAAAGTTTTAAAATTAATTTCAGATTTAATTAAAAATAAAAACCTTCGTTAAAATTTTACTTTTGATTCGAGTTGAGTTATAAATGCATTTTTCACTTAATAATAGTAACTATTAATTGGTTTTTGTCTGATGATTACAGTAAATAAGCAATATTAATTATTTTATATAAAAAAGAACAACAGTTAATAATATAGGTTTGTATATATTACTTAATTAAATTGTTATTAGTATAAAACATAAGTGTATAACTAATTATTTATTTTTTTTTTTGAATTACCTAAAAGTTACAAAATAAAGTATGTGTTGCAATGCATATAAATAATATTAAATAATTAAAAATAATATCGGTAATTAAATAAAACATATCTAAAAACAATGTTTATGAATAATACTACTTAAACATTTTTGTGCAAAATTTTATTTTATTTTAACAAAAATTACAAAGCAATTAAGTTATAAAATAAACAAATTATATATGAATTTAATTTCACAAAATTTTCATATATATATATAAATATTTTTTTATGTATAAAAGCTAAATAAATAATTTTACTATTCTTTATTTCGATACTATTTATTAATATTTTACTTCTCAAAAGCGCATTAACTATTTTCCATTTTGTTTTTATTTTTGTGTGAAAAAAAAACTATTACTGATATGCAAATTAAATAAGCTTATAAGATTTTCTGCTTATACATAATTACGAAAATCCTACAAATACATTTCTATAAGCTCAAATGGCAGTGTTGCTGCCCTGGTTCCATATCTCCACCTCGTAGCTGCTTTCTAGCTGCTATTAGTGCGATTTAATATAATTTGATTCCAACTCATTTCACATTACTTTCTTTTCAATTGACTAGATACAAACTATTCTTTATACTTTCACTTGAAATCTGCATAATAATTTTTTTTAAAATATTTAAAAATTTAAGAAAAGAAATTTGTAAAAATTATAATATATATTTTTTTCCAGATACATAATACAATGACATTTTTTTTTTAATTTCGTTAACGTTTTATTGCTATTTAATGTTAAAATACCTAAAAGTTTATTAACAAATTAAATAATATTTTTTACACAAAACTGTTTTTTTATAAAACGTAAACGTAATACAAAGTTATTGATTATTGATTAATTCGTTAATAAAACTAAAAATAAAAACAATAATAAATATTCAAGACCTCCGAAACGGAAGCTCTGTCAAATTGCTTATTAAATACATAAAGTTAATTAAAAAACAAATGATTTCGTTAATGACATGAATTTGTATAAATATTAATGATTTGGTTTGTTTGTTTTGCTTTGATTTAAAATATCATTCATTGTCATTTTTTAAATTTTTAATTATTTCTTAATTTTAAAAATACAAAAAATTTCTATTTGTTTAAATGATTTTCTTCTGTTTTGCTTATTATGTATATTCGAGCTGCACTTGTTCTTTGTCCTTATATCTTTTACTAAATATTTAGTATTCGTTTGTATATTTTTTTTTTGTTTGTTTTTGGATTTCATTGAGTTTGTTAAATTGCTTAGTTTGTTTTTATTTACATTACTAAACACTTTCGTTGACGTCGCTTTTGTGGTTCTGGCCTAAGCACAGCTCTAACCGCTTCTTCAAAAACCTGAAAATATAATATATGTATTATAATTAGTAATTAAAGCAAGTAATTAAAATGTTTATCTATTAATTAAATAAATTTATTTTTTTATTTATTATAGTTCAAATAATATATATATCGATAACAATATAATAGGTACTGTAAGCGTTTTAAAATGTTAATAATAAAGAATAAATATAGTTAACTAAGATTTTACCGAAGGTTCAATATTCTTTTTAAACAAATGCTTTAACATGTTATTAGCAATAAATGGCAATTGAAATTACGAAGATATCATCATGCTGTTGTAGACCGATAGAACCTGCAGTTATTGATAATATTGGAAGCGACACTTGCTCGTGTATGTAGGAAAGTGGCTTCGCTGAACAGCTTCGCGCCTGATGCATCTTGGGATAAAAGAAGGCTCTCACGTGTAACAATGACTATTCTTGCCTAATTAAGCTAAGGATATAGCTAAGTTGTAAATAGTTACTTATCACGCATAAATAGGAGCATTCCCTATATGTGCTCCAACTACAGCTTTACTCCACATAACGTCGACCATATGATTTCTAGCCCAAATGCGCAAACAAATTTTGAAACGGAGCCATATTGATTTATGGCTCCAAACCGTTGAGATAGCAAGATTTTTTCTTCTAAACTCAGTTTAAATTCAACAACCCAACCTTTTTCCTCATCATTACTCTCTTTATTACTAGTACATAATTATACCCATCCAACTTCATAGTACAGTGTCTTGACAGTATTTTATATTTTATGTTTTCAGGTCGGTGTTCGGGGCTAATGAAACCATTGTTGGTACAAACCTGACCGCTTATGAAATAAAGAAGCGGTTATAATTGAGGAATTCTGTTCTTAAGATAACTAAAAAGAAAGTATTGCAAGCATATTACAAAAACATCTGCCTTGATAATGATGATACTGATGAGTATTGGGTAATAAACAATCTTATAATTTGAGATTAAAAATTAAAAAGTTGTGTTTTATGACTAGACCTTAAGTGAAAGTGGCTTCGATAATTGCTTATCTCAATAAGAGTGCACAATAAATAACAGTAAGTGAGTAACTGTTAGATAACATATTATCATAAGATCTACCATATAAGAACACAGGGGCTTAAAATCCAATTTTAACTTTTGGCAAAACTTGAAAAGCTTTTTTAAAGGAAATTCTGGAGTTGGCCAAGATCCTCAAAAAGAATCACACATAATTTAGGAATTTAAAACATTAAGTTTTAAATGGAATAATTTGTAGAATCTCAAGTAGGAAAATACTATGCCTTTATATTTCATATTGTATCTAACACACTTTTGAACGAATAGTAAAAAATTAGCAAGTAAGTATAAGTGTCAACCCAGCATCTAATTCCATACAGCATTTTTAAATGAAGCCAACCTTTTCATTAGTTTAGTGGAGCATCTATTTTTGTGAGAATTAATTTGTGTAGTTACAAGCAAGAAATAGTTCTTAACCTCTTGATATAAACATTTCATATCTTGTTGTTGTGGTAACCCGGAGGGATCTGTTTGAAAGGTACCTTTGGGGAGTGGTGATGGTTGTCGTGATTCATGAGCGGGTTCGCGACATAAACCCGGCAGTTATTGGAACCTTAACATTTCATATGATTCTTTAATCTATCACTAAATTTACCAAGGCGCTTATATCAAGTCATCTTTTTAATATAGAAATATTTATAAGAAGAGATTATGAAATCTTTCTGTGGAAATCCACAACACAATATACTATAGAGATTATTCAATTTAACTCATTGTCTTCTCAAGCCGAAAATTGTACAGTTTATTAAATTAAATATAAAGATTAACTTTATTGACTTTTTACCATACACTAACAATATAAAAATCTTTTCTTTAGCTTTATTGTGCAGTATTATAATTTCAATATAACATTTAAAATGAATATTATGTGGATTTTCTATCATTTACATTTACTATTTCTACTTATCCATTGGAAATATGAACAACAAATCATTGTCTGCACTATTTTTAGAGAATATATTATTTACCATCCCACGTCTAACATACTACGAATGTCAACTAATGTCACACCATAATATTAAGATTAGAAAGTTATTTATAGAGTAATTGCATGTTGAATAAGTATAAATTATATTATTTCATTAAATTAATGAGACCTTTCAAAAAATTAATTAAAATCAAAATCAAAATAAATTCAATGTTAAATTTATAAATAAAATACTTTCATATTAAAATAAATTAATAAACTTTCTAATAGTTGCTAATAGATTTATACTGTATAAAATTTAGTTATGCTAGTATAACATGAGGTTCCTATCACGTCATAAGAAATGTTTTCCAGTAATTTTAAAACTCACTTGCTTAAGTCCTCGTTGTGTTAGCGCCGAACATTCCATATATTTAACAGCTCTAATTTTATTTGCCAACTTTTGGCCTTGTTCACGTTTTAACGGTGCTAAACCTTGCTCCGCTAAACTACTTAAAGTTTCACGATCATCGCGTAAATCGATTTTCGTACCTAAACAAAATAAGAGAATATATTTATTAATAACAGAGACTCAAATATATTATAATTATATACATTGAACGAGTATTATTATATATAATCGTTATACATTACCAACTAATATAATGGGCGCATCAGGGCAGTGATGTTTGATTTCTGTGTACCATTTTGATGTGACATTTTCAAAAGACGATGGACTTGCCACACTAAAACATATGAGAAATACATCTGTCTGTGGATAGGAAAGCGGACGTAGACGATCATAATCCTCTTGACCCGCTGTATCCCACAGTCCCAGTGATACTTGTATCGTGTCTACTTGCATTGGCGCTGAATAATTGTCAAAACTGGAATGGAAAGAGCAATAATGAAACATTAAAAAGAATTTCATAAATTATGTGTTATTAATGCAATAAATTTTCTACTTACACTGTAGGTACATATTCACCAGGAAAGCTGTCTGTTGTGTATGAAATTAACATGCATGTCTTGCCAACAGTGCCATCGCCAACGACAACACACTTGATGGGCCTTCCTGTTGACATCTGCCCAATAGGAATGATGACATAAAAGTAGCAAAAATAAATGAAATAATTAATAAATTTAAGAAAAACGAGAAGAAAAAAAACAATTTTGCAAGCAAAAATTACTAAGAGTGATATAAAGTTGATATGGTATGTTGCTGAGAAGACCACTGAGAACATCAATGGTGTTTAGTTAAATTTTATTAAATTCATTTAAGACTTGCCTGTTGATAGTTTATGAGACTTGACTTGTTATAATTTAAACTTTCATGTATTTATTTTTTTCTTTTGTTGGTATTGAGAAATTTCGTTAATTAAGTTAACAAAGACAATTTTTACATCATATAATTGACGACTAGTGACGAGGGTAAAAGGTTTTCTTAATACATTGTTTCTTTTAATATCAATTTGATAAGTTAATAAAAAAAATTGTATTGTTTTTGATTGTTGAAATAAACTTTAAAAAATTGATAAATGTCTTCATATTATAAACAGTTCTTCAACTCCAATAACGAACTGTGGGTTCAATATATACATACTATGTTACGACCTCGATCAATATAATATCCAGTACAGCTTACAGTATTTACCCATTCACATAGTTGCTTCTTGCTTTTAATTTATAATTTTGATATTATTATCATTTATTATGTAGGGAATTCTACACATCGAGGCTTGTATAAAATTCTGGCGGTCTATTGTGTTAACCCCAATTGTTTAGCCCGATTATTAGTCTTTTAATAAATATGTGCACCTTTGATACCTTTATATTATTTATATGTTATAAGAAGACAACAATCTGTTTCTCAGATGGATAAGTCTTCTGCTCATCAGTTTGGTAAATATTATTTACAATAGCGGTTCTTTTAGAAAAAGTCTTTTTTATGATTTGAGTTTTGAGAAATTTGCGTTATTATATTATTATTCCATTTTTTTATAATTGTTTGCCATATTTAAAATGTTAATAACTCTAAAAGATTTTGACATTGTGCTTTAACTCAGCATAAAAGATCTTGAGATTTTAAATATTTATTTAGCAGTCCACATTGATTTCAGATAACACCTTAGTAAAAACAAAAACCAAATGGGTTTAATGATTCGCAGATTCTTATTGCTTATTTGACAACAACACAACGGCCTTAGAAAAAAAATAACTCCAGCTAATAAAATACACGTCGGCTCTATGGCTTTACAGCACAACGGCCCTTATAAAAAATATTAAAGGGCACATCGGATCTATGGATTTAACGATCTGTACTCTTTTATTCTTTTTTTTTTTTGAAAAGGGCACTGCTAAAGTGTATAACATCTCAGTCGAACAAAACTCCAAACTAATACAGATCATATCGGTCTTTCTTGGTTAATCTTCTTCTTCTTATTTGGCACTACAGTCCAGTGTGAACCATGGCCCCTCACTTGATCTTTAGATTCTTAATGCTTCTTATTGCAAGCTTCAATGCTGACCCCATGCGGTTTTGTGGGCTTAACTTGAGAACATATTTTCTGCCACTGCACCATCTTCGGCAGATGGCGTATAATGCAGCTAGGGCAACTTACTTCACTTCATATATAAAAATTTAGTAAACAAAGATCTTGCACTACATTAAACATGTCAATATTTGCTTTCTTTCTTGAATCCATAACATTATCTTTTAATAGTAATACGAATATTATTTTTCTTAAATCTTCAGAAATAGATAGGATTTCTTATTTTTGATATTCGATTGACGTTTATGCCGCAATAACAAATGAATATTTTGTTCAATTCGATATAATATATCTGTATATATACATTCTATCTGTCGCAGATATCTAACAAATTATCGACTAATATCTGAACTAAATAAATTTATATTTAATTTAAAAAATTTATAAAGAGCAGTATTGACAACCCCTCAAGACGTAGAGAGGGGAAGAAACCTCGCAGTTAATAGAGAGTAAAGAGAGTGCACTGACTCATTTATCCTCAAGAATAATAATAGATCTGATAAAAATCAATCAAGTCTAACAAAAAACAAATGAGGTCTGATACATAACAGCAAACTCTAAAACAAAATAGGTATGATAAACCAATTAGGTCGGATACAAAGCAATTGGGTCCGATACGAATCGATTAAGTTTGACAAAAAACTATTTAGATCTTATATAAATATTAGTTCTGATATAAACCAATTAGGTTTGATAAAAAATAATTAGTTATAATATAAAGCAATCACGTGTCATACAAAACAAAAACTATAGTTAAGTTTGATAAACCCATCAGGTCTGATATAAACATTTAAGCACGGGCACAAACCATTTCGATTTATTATAATAAATTATAAGTTAAACTTTACGCCTCTTACAAAACAAAACCTATAGTTAAGTTTGACAAACCCATCAGGTCTGATATAAATATTTAAGCACAGACATCAACCATTCCGATTTATTACAATAAATTTTAAGTAAAATTTTGTATTCGTTCATTTTTACTTCATTACATTATATATATAAATAATCAAATTCGATCAGGACCCAAGTCTTGGAATTCTAATAAGACACTCAAAACATTTATTATAATAAATGGCTTGTATTATGTTACATATTTGAGCGAGAAGGTAATACCACTCTCATTATTAATTGTTAAGTTATAATGAATTTTGCTTGTCTGTGCGAAATGTGTTGACACATTGTAGGCATTGTTCCCACTGTGTTCGCATTCTAACCATTATTTATGTTAAGAATTTGAGAGGAGTGCCGAGCAGTTATTTCACAACTCAAACCAATGAAGAACAATGAAATCCACATATAAAGTCATCAATAAACATAAAATAAAATGTAACCAAAATAAGCAAAAACTTACAAAAAAACAAGATTTTCAAATTTCTTGAAAGCAACACAAACGAAATATTTGCAAATCAAAAAATACACAAACAATAGTATAAGGAAAAAAATGAAAAATTAGTACTTGAAATATATTTTCGGCCAAAATAGATCAGAAGAAGAAGCACCAGAAGAATTCGACTTGAAGGAGCACAAGTGTGTGCGGCGTCTGGAATAGTATCTACCAACGATAAATAGGAGAAGAGAGGAGTAAATTATATTCTGGCAAATGACGCCGGCCGACAATTTTTAAAAATAGATACAATTAAGATTATCTGGTACAGGGGGAGGTAGAAGCAGTGCCAGTCATTGAGTGCGCGCCCCACACAACAAAAACTTTCGTTGCAATGAGAATGTACCGCAGCGCCTGCCATTGCTACTGCCGCGGCTGCTGTTGTGGCGGCTGCTGTTACGATTGTTAATGAATGCAATTGATAATTTTGTATTAGAAATGACATAGAAATATTCTCGGAATTAAAGTGGAAATTGTAATTAAAATTCAATTTGAACATAAAAAGCACAGACAAAGAACATAAATGATATTGCTTTTTTATTTTTTCATTGTCGTTGTCGATTTGTTGTTGCACTGCTGCCACTTTTGTTGTTGGGCGTAGGTGCTACACACAAAAGGCAGTAGCGGTGGTTATTGTTTCAATATTCTCATTCACTTCCATATATTTACTACATACTTTAATTCATTATTTTTATACTTTTCAGTTAATATTATTTAAACAATATATATCTCGCTTATACCTTATTTTTTAATTTAGTTTTCTCACACTACACTTTTTGTTGTTCTGTGCTTCTTTGCCGTGATTTTTTCTTATTTTTCTACGATTTTGTACTTTGTTATTTTTGTAATTTTTTCTTTAAATTAAATTAACTTAACATTTAGATTCGATTTAATAAATTAAATAATTGCCATTAGAAAATTTGTTTAAGTAAAATTGTATGGTTCGCGTTTACTTTTCGACACACTTCACCTTACGTTTGCCATTTACTAATAACATCGTATGCGTGTACAACAAACACTTCTACCAACACACACACCCTACCATGCTACTTCGTGTACATGCGCGAATTCACAATAGCATTCAAATGTCAAACTAAAAAGTTTTGTGTGTGAAGAGCAGCAAATCTAATTATATAGTTGTGTGCATATAATTTTATAAAAATTATGTACTAAATTAGAAAGATTTTATTATTATATTATTTATAACATAATAACATATGTTGAATCAAAGCATGTCAGAATATACAGACTCAAAGAATACCACAGGGCAGAATCATTTAAAAAAATGATTGAGTTCATGTTTTAAAGTAAATATAAACATTATTATTATTGTTTGAATAGTTGTTTTTTTACAGAATACTAAAAATATATACAAATCTCTGCAGATAATTATATATTGTTATCAAAATTAAACATATGAAAAAAATTTTGTTCTGTACGTTATTAACATGTACAGTACGTAAAAAAACAACTTCTTACAGTGAATTGGTTTACACGATGCAGTTTTAAAAACAATAAATTTTTTTCATAGAGATTCAATTTATGCAATTTTTAAATACACGCATCTGTATGACTGAAAAACATGATAACATTGAACATATCTGTATATATTGTAATTTAGTTTATTTTCATTAATTTAAATAAAATTTTACATGTATATATTAAAATAGAAAAGAAACAATTAATTTATTCACCAAGTCGTGTTTCTGTATTACTTTTCATATTGAAATAATATAAAAAGAATTAAACCTATTTTTACAACATCACAACAATTTATTTAATATCACTTAGTGAATTTTTTATCTCATAATAAGGTTTTCATTTTGAATAGAAAAGGAAGTTATATTAATAAAATTTTTATTTTCATTTAATCTAATGAGCCCCTGGGTTAATCACGCAGCTCTTTCGGATATCGCCAAATATTCATCATTAGTGGTTTTTGACAACATTTATTGGTTTATTTGTCCAATTTAATCATTTTTGGATTGGAAATGTCCGGGTGATTAAGACTCCAACTAAGACTCTAACGAATGTAAACAGGGAACAAATAATATTAAAAATACATATAACATTTACAGAAATGTCGTTTCTGTTTTAAAGTAAATTTAAACAATAATATGGGATAGGTGAAAAGTATTTCCTTAAAAAGTTTGATTACTGAGAAATAACAGAGAGATATTCCCAGTTCCAATTAATAGGGTGTAAGCTACCGATTATTTGCTAGGGTGTAATCTTATCTTTTCTCAATTTGTGCACTTTATCAAAAACATTCGTGGAAGTTCGGAAAACATTTCCTTCTTCCAGCAAAAGAGTGTATATTAATTTGTAAATACTCTTAATGAATAGATTTACCAGTAACTATTCTCGGTTATTTCTCAATTGAAATGGAAATTAAGACATGAACTTTTCTAAATCTAAATATAGTCATTGTGGTTAAAATCAACTTTCAGAAATGGATAATTTAAAAAAATCAAAAATTCTTGGTTGAAATGACGGCCACTAATTTCCAAAATTCTAAAAGTATTTAACATATGCTCCCCATTCCTAACACTCCACACAAATCGTGATTGATGTACTTCCAACTCAAACTTTACGGCTTTGTAGGGCAATGTTCTGCACTGGGGGGGCTTAATACCAAGTGACGAAGGGTGAATAATTTGATTATCGTGTGTGATTTGTACAAATTACCTAAGGTCAAATTGTTACACGCTGTGAAAGCCAGAGAGAAGGAGTGAGTATGTAAGAGTGAATGAATTGTGAGTCCATTTTTTAGTTTCGCAGTGAAAAAGTCTCTCAACTCGAATTACTTAAATTTAATATTAAAAATCTTACATATAAAAAATATAAGGAGAAGCAGAGCTACCGCAAAAACTAATTCAAAAATGTCTGAAACAAGAATTTTTCAACAAGTCATCAAAACTAACTAAATTCAGACTAAATTCTTTCTAATTTTAATCCTTTTTGCTTTTTACTTTTGGGGTTAAAAATTTAATTTAAATTTTTTGCAAAAAAAAAAAAATTATTTAAAACTTTGAAATATTTTTATTAAAAAGGCAAAAAAAAAAATAAAAGGACAACTATTCACTCACGCTGCTAAGGATATCACTAGGATCCCATATAATTGAGATAATTTTTGTTCAGTATATTTTTTTCTTCTTAAGTCTCGTATCCATGTTGTCCATCAACATTATGTATATGCAAGCACTCAGCATGTGTCCTTGCGTAAGGATAACAGTAAGCTTTGATTAATTTAATTGTCACTTTTATGTAACAAACTCGAGAATCATGTAATGACAGGGAAACTATCACTTCCTTTCCTCTTTTTTTAATCTTCCGTGCTTCTAGTGCCATCCATTGCTATTCAGTTGATACCATGATTAATTAGTTCGACATGGCAGGGTGTAAACTTGCAATTGGTAGAAAGTGACAATACGTTTTTATTGTGTTTAATGGCCGTCTATTTTATTAAGTGATATGTGCTATATTAAAATAAAACATTTTGAAGGATTTTTCAGAAAAATACTCGTATAAGAAAATATATCACGAAAGGAATTCAAGGAAACTCTAATTTAGACGTATTTATTTTGCAAAGAATTAATATACATTAGCTCAGTTTAATTATTATCTTTATATTCTATTAAGATTCTCTTGAAATCCTTTATATCATTTATATTTTAATTAAAAAAGGGATATGACACTTAGTATTGTTATATGTACTCATTGCAAATTCCAGGAGTAAAAATAAGTAAAAATAAAGAAGACTAATAAAATAAAGTAACATTCTTGGTGAAAAAATAAGATAATAAACATTAAGTAACTTTCTTTAGGAATGTCACCTCGTAATTAAGACCAGGCTCAGTAAGTGGAAAGATCATAAAATAAATATCAACAATAGCATATCGTTAGAACTTAAAATCAAATTGCACTTAGTTCTAAAAATATTGTCAAAAGTGCAAATATCATAACCTCAATATCCTCAATAGTTTATAGTTGCTCGAAAAACACCCAAAGGCTGACAATATTTTGATATTACGGGCACATCAAGATTAATATTTAAAAAAATCAAAACACAAGTATTTGTTTTCTTGGTAAACTCAATTGAAAATATATTGCTTTATTTGCATTAAGCAGCTTATTCCATAAACATTTTATACCATGTTTTCTTTGCTTACTTAGTAAGTTACTTAAGTAACTTTAAAATTTTGTCGTTTCCATTGACATAAGTTACTTTTTATAGAAGAGAGAATTTTTATTTGGCAGAAAGTTCTTTGAAAGTTTAAAAGAGTATATGCTTGTTTAAAAAAATATCACTCAATAATATATCACACAATAAATTAAGTATATAATTGATATATTAAATCATTTATATATATACATTTTATATACCCATTACATATTCATATTATTAAAATAAAGATTTTATTAAATACTTACTTCTTACTGTGTTTGTTTACAGCTTAGTGCATTTATCAAAGCTCCATTGACCACAATTAACGGTCAGTGGTAATACCACAGATAAACGATTCTTTAAGAAAACTATTAAATTAACCTGACAAGTCTATAAACTTGACTATGTCTCCAATTTTGAAGGATAACAGTTCTGTCAGATTTTTGTCAGCTTTAACACATAAGGTGAAAAATATTTTCTTCCTCCTTGGCAGAATCACAACAAGTCTTATTGTACGTCTTCCTAACACCCAGTGATCAGTCAGCATCGATAGAGTAGAATTGATTAGGTTCCGCTTGAATGACAGCTGACTAATATGCTTCTTGCTAAAATTGAACCAAGCAAGTCTTGAAGTTTGACAAGAATAGTCATTTACGCAGTGTTTTTCAGTTACTTAAAAATATTTTCTTTTGATGGTCACCTTAGCCGTGCGCGTGGGATACCAGGGAATAAATTTCAGAGAACAATGTGTTTACTTCGGCAAGGAGTAGCTTCGCTGGCTTGTTCATGTTGTGAGAATGGATGAAGATGCTGCAGCGAAAAAGGTATTTAAAGCAGTAGTTGGAGAAAGAAAGAGTAGTGGTAGACCGTGTCACAAGTGGAGTGATCAAGTTGAGAGAGTACTAACCAGACATGTTGTACGAGATTGGAGAGGGCGCACGCAACAGAGGTGTCTGGAGAGACCGGAACCCGGTAACGGGTTGTTATGGCCAAATAAGTAAGTAAGAAATTAAGCAGTAGAAGAACATAGACTAAGATAGAAGCAATAGTAGAGTAGAAGTACAAAAGTGTATCTTTTCAATTAGCTTAAAGTTTTTTTAAAAGATAAAGGCTTAGTTGCGTTGATTAAATATAATTTTTAAGAAAACATGATATATAAAACTCAATTAATATGATATGACAAAGACTATTTAAGTGTTTTAAAATAAATTTTTTATTGTACATTAAATTTAAACCAAAATTCTTTTTTCAAAAAAACTTTCTCTTCGAAATACCAACAAACAATAAATCTCAATTAAGTACAAGTATCGAGTGAAAGAAGTGAAGAGAGTTGGAGGAATGTATCCAAAATAAAACTCTTAATAAGCAAACAATAAAGAAGAAAAATTGTGTGAAATTAAGTCATGACAGACATGTGCCCTAACACATGCAAGGACTACAGGATACACTGGAAGTCAAAAGGATTTGTCTACATGTTGCAGACTTCACGCTGTTTTCGACAAAATGCGGACTACACAATAAAAATTTTGGATAAAAAAAAAATAAACAAAATAATGTTTAACAATTTTGGAAAGCTTAAATTTACGCATAGGACTTTAATAGATTTTTCATTGACAATACTGGACTGACTGAACTGACTGGACATCAGTGGACTTTTATTAATGAGCAAACCACAGATTGTCAATATTAAACATAAAATCCATTTTTTAATCTATTTTTTGTTGAAATGTAAATAAAATCAAAATTCAAGGCAAACTCTTTATTGCATTTGTCAAAGGCCATAGTGACATTGACACTGTCGAGGGGCTTCAAA